ATTTTTCTTTTAATGTTGAAATTTACTTGTTGTTATTAGGGGGGGGTTTGTTTGTTGGTTCTCTTTTTAAAATATATCCTTTGCACCATTGCACAGTGCACAACCTGTACTTTTTCATATGGAAACTTTATATTTATCAAATCATAATGAGTGTAAATTTGGTACCAATTTTTAGAGCTCCTCCCCCTAGCTAATAGAAGCATTATAAACTAAGTCAGGCTCAGGCTATATCACCCTCTAACCAATGAATAGACACTGAATAAACTTACTTACTTACTTTAGTTTTCTGAGCTTTCAACTTTCTGTAACCTTTGTCTTCCACAGATCGACGCCGTGCATTCAATAGTCGCTGATGGTTTTGCGGATTTCAGAATGACAATGACAGACAACTGAATTATCCCAAGTAGTTTTTAATTTGTTTTAAATTCATGCTAAACGTATTAGCTACTATTTTTGTCAACCAATGTCATTTGGAAAAGGAAAGTATGTGACAATATTATTACCAGTTTTCTACCTTTGCATGAAGTTATTGGTGAAATATCTGTTTGCTTTGTTCATAACTGTAAATAAATGTTCATGAAAGTGCTAATGATACTGATTGTTGTGAATTTTGAGTTTTTCATGGTTTTTATTTGTTTGTTTTTTCACAAGAAGCTTTTTGGTCTAGTGCTACTTGGCGATTGGTTGTTAATGTTTTATGCTCTTATCAACACAATTTAGTTCATCTGGAATCTTGGAGATGAATTCTTAGATTTGGTTGAGCAGATGGGAGGGATTTGAGCAAAATGCTATATCCACATCGCAAGTGGGGAAAAAATTGGGGTAATTTATCATCTGTCTACACTCATGTAGGAGCCACAAACCAAACCGGATAAATTTGATTTTTAAAATATATCAATTATAGCCTCTCAAAAGCCATTAAATACTTTTTTAAAGTAAAGGAAAAATTCCTTCTCCAAAATATTCCTGGAAGAAAACATTACTACTTTTGTTCAGCGTAGTGATGATGACAACGAAATTAAAGTTAGACAAGCTGGGAGCAAGTTTTGGTTGCAATTTCAAAGTAGACTTGTCCACCATTGAAAAGTTTTTGATCTGTTTGATGAAAATTATGCCCACATACCCTACTCAAAATTGATAGGGTCAGAAAAATAAAGGGTCATCTAGCTATTTTATTTTCATTCTAATGCTATGTGTAGTCTTCCCTGATGTGTTTCTTCATACTAACAACTCTATATTTAGCAGAATGTTACCGGTACTTAGACCCTTTATTTTTCTCACCCCTTCAAATGTCTGAGAAGATTCTAATCCTTCAAGCATTATCTTAACCCTATATGTACGCCCTGGGGTTATTTTGTACCCCCTGGGGTTGTATTCTTCACATTTTAGAATACTTCTAGTACGAAGATCTCTTTGAAACTTTCAGTATTTCTCAAAAAATCATTTTGACAGACTGCTATGCAAAGCGTACGGATCGGATTAAGGAGTAAATTTCCTCTTTGGAAAGTGGTGGCATAGAGTCCCCCACATCGTATGGATACGATGGTAAAGCACGGCTTACGGATAGGGTTAAAGTCATCCAGATATTTCATTTTCATTCTTATGCTATGTGTTATCTTCCCTGACGTGTTTCTTCATACTAAAAATTTAGCAGAATGTTACCCGGTACTTAGACCCTTTATTTTTCTCACCCCTTCAAATGTCTGAGAAGATTCTAATCCCTCAAGCATTACCGTAACCTGAGAACATCAAAGTAAACTGTAGCATAGGTGGCCTATTGGTTAGGCTTTCATTTTCCGACTTGTAATTATTTTGTAAGAGGTCGTAGGTTGAATCCCATCTGCTGCCAGCAGCCCTAAGCTGTGTCCTTGGAAAAGGCACTTTACCCAAATTTTCTTCACTTCATCCAGGTGGAGCTAAAGATTGCAAAAAGATCTTGTCAGTTGATTAGTGTTTGTACACATGCAAAGCAAAGTTTTTGCACTGTATGCTTCCTGGGAAGCAGAGAATCATGTCTCTTAGTATTCTACGGTCTGCTGGGGTAATAATACTTATTATATATAGTATTATAGAGTGCATAGAGCATGCTGCAGAGCATGGAAATATGCCCTGTATAAATGCAACTACAGCCTCATCATTACTGTATCTGTGTGTGCATCAGGTGTTGAATGAGGGTGGTTGGAGGGTACTCTGGTGTGGTTTGCTCCTTCTTTCCTTTAAAAAATGTATCTTCTTTATCTCCCCTCCTTCTATTTTGTGTTAATTACTCTCTAGTTACACCTCCAATCTTCTACACTTATTATATGACCTTATTGTGTTGCAAGTGCCGTAAAACCCTTAACTAAAAGTTTCAGTAAAACTTAAGTGTTGAATGTTAGTAACTTGCGTTAGTGTAGTGTTGGATCCAGACGTAGGCCAGACTGTATTCAGTCAAAAGGAAAGTACCGCCATTGGCTCACACTCACACCAGCATTTCCGTGGAACTTAAAAAAAAATAATAACTTGCACGTGCTTCCACATAATTTATCATTTCAATAGTACAAAAGACTGAAACAACTTCGAAACATGCATTTCATATTGTCTTTATTCATCAGTATATTATTTTAGCGAAAGTTCTCCAGTTGGGCCATATTTGAAAAATCAGGAAAAAAACTACATCAACATGAAAATTGTTCACAATCACAGCATTTGAAGCATCCATTTAATTTGATGTACATGACAAGCTTGATTTGGATTGAAAGATTGAATGATAAATGAAATGACATAGAAAACAGTTTTAAATACTCTCGAAACAACAGCTCTGAGTGACAGAAGGGCTCAAAAACTTACCTTGACACAAAAATCTAACTTTAACGACTATAATATAAATATAAATAAATATAAGGAAGAGAATGAGAATAAAAGTAAAAGGACCGGACACCAGATGCTAGAAAAAAAATTTGTTCAGACAACTTTCACTAGGGTTGTGCCTGCTAATTTCACATCATCTTACTTTTACTTTATAGTAGAGGAAATTCTTCAACCCGCATTATAAATTATTGGGTGGGTTGGTCCCAACCCAAATCGAGCTAAAAATTTCATTCGCCAAACATCCATAGCACTGGGATCCAGAGCAGAAACTACTGCCACTGTATGAGTATGAGCAAATTTGCATAGATTTATAAGACAACTACAACACTTGGCATTCACACAATAGCCAACTATGAATCTTCAACATTGAAGGGAGCATTAATAAATCAAAAGGGATATAAGCAATTCACTGCAAGTCTAGCAGGCCTACAAGTAAAAACTATTTTAAAACATCAACAAGAAAAGCAAATTGGTTTAACAGAAATATAAGAAAGAACAAACATTAGAGTTAGACTGTTGGAGAATTTAATTCATATCTGACGACTTGAGTATGACACAAAATTTACAGAAACAAAATAAATTTACAGTGCAAAAGCCGAGTCCATACACAAATTTTCATTTCGTAATCAACGTTGAGTTATATTCACTCGAAGTTCTCCCAGCTCTTGTGCAATGAACAAGGAGAGAAGCTTCTGAAAACACCGTCTAGAGGTGCCAATTTTTTAAAATAAATCTGGATTTTCTCAAATCGTCCAGAATTTTTCCCCAGATAATCTTTTGATATCAGATGCTTAGCGTTTCTACAGGGTCCGAACAGTTCAGGATATTTTTTCATAGCCGCCTGGCACCTTTTACTATCTTAGTATTCTTTTTTCTCCAACAACAATTGATATAGAGTGAGACCTCAAAGCCTTCCTTACAAAAGGCAGGGGAAGAAGAATATTCCGTTTTGAAAAATTGTTCTTCGTGTTATAGGAGGTGAGTAAGATTCGGTAACCCAGTACCACATTATTACATAGAATTACTGATAAACATGGCACTTAGTTATCTGGAAACTGGTACCAAAGCAAAAGCAAAATAAGCCCATGTCCTGTAACAACAGTAACGGCTACACAAACAAGGGAACAACAATTTAGTTTAGTTTTAGTAGAAGTTTTACGTCGCTCGCAACTGCATAAGATCAAATGAGTGCCATAAGGTTAGAGGTGTTACAAGAGAGTAACAAACATAAAAAAGAAGGAGGGGAAATTTAAAGGGAGATAGTACGACAGGTGTTTGATAGGAAAGAAGAAGCAAACCACACCAGAGCACCTACCAACCACCCAAGAACAACAGTTTGCACCCTTGGTCGTGAGACAGAAAAACAGCAGGCCAGCTGCAAAGAAACATTCAGATGACACATAAAATTAAATGTCTTAAACCGAAATCTGTGGGGCCACTGGATTTTCTTCTGTTTAGTGGTGTTTTCCGTAGAGATTGTACAAATAGCAAAAAAGATAGGATTCTTCTATTTTCTTTCAGGCATCAGTTTCCTGCTGTTTATTAACTTAAGGATTAACTGAGTGTTTGGTTTAAGCGGACCCTATCATCAACAAGCTGTAAAAATGTCCAAAGCCCAAAAAATCTAAATTTTTCAGGAGAGTGACACAAAAAATGGTTTCATTTTTTTAAACAATTGTATCTCTATTTTATGTACCTTTTCTTGCTTTTGTCAACATTAAAAATTTGAATTCTGACAAAATATTTCTTGTTCTCATGCAAACAATGTCACAAACTAAAAAACTGCAACATAATTTTAAAAAATCAAAATGTTGGGCTTGGTCTAGTTCTTGTACATTTAGTTTTAGTTTTAGTAAGAGTTTTACGGCACTTACAACACAATAAGGTCATATAAGTGCCGAAGAATAGAGGTGTTACAAGAGAGTAACATAATAAAAAAGGAGGGGAGATAAGGATGATAGATGTTTGATAGGAAAGAAAAAGCAAACCACACCAGAGCACCCGCCAACCACCCACCTTGTACATTTGAACAGTTGGCCGATGATATTATTATTATTTAAGTTCATGGAATGAAGTGAAAAAAGGTGTCGGTAGGCTAATTCCTCTGGACAGGGATTTTTTTAAAGTAAGCATTTTATGGCACTTGCAACACAATAAGGTCATATAAGTGCCGAAGACTAGAGGTGTTACAAGAGAGTAACAAACACAAAAAAAGAAAGAGGGGAGATAAGGATGATAGATGTTGGATAGGAAAGAATTAAAAAAAAAACCCAACATAAATTACACTTCCATTTGTCCCAGAAGGGCACTTTGGTTTACAATGACAAACATACATATGCATACATAAATACATTTAATTATAAATACGTGCACATACATAAATACATACATGAATATACAATATTACACAAATACAGGAGGGTGTGGTGGCGGAGCGGTTAGTGCGAAGCGGATAGTCCGGGTTCGAGCCCTGGTTCGGACACGCATTTTTTTCACCCCCTCCTGCCCACCCAGCAGTAATGGGTACCTGACTTTGAGTTTGGGAAGTAAAGGCTGCGTGGAAAGGAACTGGTCACCCTACCACAATATGCCGAAGGCCCAGGAAGTTGTCTCACTAACAAGGCAATCCCCAATGTCCGGATCGGATGCGGGAACAACTTTACTTTTACAAAAATACAGAACAGTTTACAACCATGCCACTGTCGGTTGCCACCGTGCAGCACCCTGTATTTTGAGCTAGGGTTGTCGTGTCTTGCTCAAGGACACACCCCGGTGACCACCCATCTGATCCCCGTGTCACCGACACTTGCTTGACATTACTTGAGTCTAAACTCACTGCTCACTTAGCCACTGGAGCAAACCGCACCAGAGCACCCGTCTGGACAAACACAGTGAAAGATACATTTACTATGTATGTACATGATGTGTGCATGTTCTCCATCTCCATAGAGAGACAAGAAAAGACAAATGGTACCTTATCATTATCAATCTTCCATTGGAAGAAATTAACTATCCTTTCACAGCATAAAATAGCATCTCATTGACATCTCTCTCTATTTTTCTCTTTCACTCTTCCTCTCTCTCTATTTCTCTCCCTCTCCCTCACTCCCACCCTTCCTCTCTCTCTCTCACCCTCCCTCTCTCTCCTTTTCTCCCCCTTTTCACTCATTGACTGACTTCCACCCTCACTAACAGTAACAATATGGACAAACACGGTGCAAAATTTACATGCACTGCAACTGTAACGAAATACAGTTGAGCATGCTCTCACAACCACATATTTTCCCGCCTAGGAATTTTTAAATATATATATATATATTATAGGTATGTTTGTCTTGGAAGATCACTTTTCTCCTTGACAATGATTGGTGGCTGATCATTTATTTCGCACAGGTTCGACTGTATGGGTCAAAATTAGTCGCTTTTAATGACAAGAGAGCTAACCCAGATTTCGGGGGTTTCCAGAAATCTTGACCTACACCAAAAGTGGGCATTGCCCTACCTATAAGAGAAGTTTGGTTTCATTGGGGTATACATTTGTTTGGTTATAGAGAAAACTCTCTTTGTCCTTTAAAGAAACTGAACAAAGGGCAAAAACTTAACCTTCGATTTTCTCAAAACAGCATTTTTCAGGATAGCCCCCTTGTGCTTAAAAGTGACCAATTACAATATTTGTACTGCTTTTTTGAGCCAGTAGACTCCCCCAAGGCTTGCCGAGTCCTCCGGGGAGGACCAATCAGGTGTTCGCTCACACCGGCTTGTCCCACGCATCCCACGAGACGAACCATTGCGGCAGGAAGTTGAATTCTTCGTCGTTGTCCCGCCTCTCGTAAGTCATGTCTTTTCCCGGTCCCCAGCGGAAAACATGGGCACACCTGTCATCATGGGTGAAAAGGACATACTCTAAAAGTAATGTAAAAATAAATATCAAAATAACAAATAAAAAGATAGGACACACATATATATTCTGTAAACAGTTATCATATCATATAAAAATACATTTGTAACAATAAACCCATCATGTCTCTAGTGCTCACTCACAGTACACTCACAATCAGTAAAGATCATAAAGAAAAATGTGATGATGATGGTCAGAAAAATATCAAATCAAAAGAAATTTTTTATTTTCTTTATTTATTGAATTTCTGTAGACAGTGGTTTGAGAGCGAGAGAAAAGATTCTTCATGTCATCTTACTTGTATGATTATTACCGGTATATAATATATTTTGCAATCAAGTTATCAAAGTTTAGCAGCAAACATAACAAAAAGATTAATTTTAAAACTGGACTAATTAAAACCAGTTGAATTCTTCAGCTCTTTTAGAATGCAACTTTTTTTTCAAAGGATGTGTCCATCCATAGAAGAGGGAATCTCCGGTTCCAACCTTTACCCTTGGGCATGCCGGACAAGCATCTAGTACTACTGTATATTTTCAGCGGAGATCATATTGACTTCTTAAAAAATAGATAGAAGAATGGACGTAGGCGGTAGGTTAATTTGATATTTTTTTGTGCTCATTTAACCTTCGTTCGTGAGGGC